AATGATGACCAGCCGCCATTTTTATGTTAAAATATAGTATCTGTGTCAATATTTTTACCACGAATTTCAATATGCTAACTTGATCTGTTCAATAATTAAGTATTTAACTTTTTTCTCAAATAACATACGCGCCGAACACATAAACGTTTTCGATCAGTGATATTCGGAAGAAACATTTTTTAATTTGAACCTGGTCTGTGATTTCGGTAGACATTAGCATTTCACAAAGTACCGATATGTCTTCGTCGAGTAAGCATTTTTAGGGAATAACCGTTCGAATAGTACCATCTGGCGATTATTTGGTACTTCGTAGATGAAGGAAAAGAGGAAATTAGTAGAATTATTTTTTGGTATAGGTACTTTCTACTCCATATTTAATATTTATTGTGAAATAATCATCATGCTTACTTGACGAAGCACGTCGTGAAGTGTCCCAGTAAAAGCACAGCTTAAACAAGATAACACCAATCTGGGATTTCAATTTTTCAGCCAATTTTTGACAGCACACCCGTTGTAATATTTAATAAATAAATGTAAATCAAAATACGCATACGCTCAATATGAGCATAACATTTAAATCATTTAACAGAGTTTCAATATTTTTACCGGTCAGAATGCTAGATTAAAAGTTCTTCCTCATTTTATTAGAGATTATTAAAAAATTGTTAATATCTAGTATCATATTCGTTATGTATTCGTTGAAGATATAATAGAGTCAAGGAATTCTACAACTGGAGAAACAGTAGTGAAGGAAAAAATCTAACCAGTGAAAAAAATGTTAATGCTTTTTATGTATCTCAACATACTTGACAAAACAAATGATTTGTATAAGTAAATGAAAAAATTGGCGACACTTAATTTGTGAAACATGTTTTGACCTATTTGAAGCAGCTGCTGGCATTCATCACGTATACTAAGTGACATATAAATCCGAACACCCAGTTTAAATGGTTTTATTTTAATAAAATTTTGTATAAGTACTTAATGAAGCATAATAAGTAAATGATAAAAATTTCACAATGATTGCACTGCTTTAAAGCCCTTTGACCTTTAATAATGTGTGGATGCACCCTGATGTGCTACGCATTCTCCAACGCGCCTAGGCATGCTTCTGATCAGGTGGTCAATGTCCTCCTGTGGTATCTCATTCCAGGCAACCACCAACTCCTCTCGGAGTGCTTCTAGAGTCTGAGGAGGACGTTGCAAATTGAGCAATCTCCTACCCATCATATCCCACACGTGCTCAATTGGGGATAAGTCGGGAGATCTTGGTGGCCATGGTAACAATGTGACATCATTATGTTGAAAGAAGTCTATTGTGACTCTTGCAACATGTGGTCGGGCATTATCTTGTTGGAAAGTTGGATCTGCCAGGGTGTCAAGATAGGGTAAAAGATGGGGTTCTAGAACTTCGTGGATATAATGCTGCGCGTTCATGTTACCTCTGATGAAGATTAAAGGTGACCTGGAACCATAAGCTATAGCACCCCAAACCATAACTCCAACAGTATGATGAACATGTATTTCAACAAAAAACTGTGGATTCCTCCTTTCACCACGTCGCCTTCTAACCCTGGCACGACCATCGTGCATGCCTAAACAAAATCGAGACTCGTCAATAAAGACAATACTGTTCCATTCCTGATCCCAGAGTGACCTTTGTTTGCACCACTCAAGGCGATTACGTCGGTGTTCTCGAGTTAAAGGGAGGACCCAGTGTGGCCGGTATGAAAACAAGCCAAAACTTCTCATTCGTCGGTAAACACTTCTCATGCCAATAGGTCTTCCGTGTTCTGCAAACCATTCATTTGCAATGGACCTGGTAGTGGAGAAACGGTCCCTTAAGGCCAATAATCTTAGGCGGAGATCTTCACGGTCTGTTGTTCTACGGCGGCGTCCAGTGCCCCTTGCTCTTTGCGTACGGCCTTCTCGAAGCCATGCCTGACAACACCTAACCACAGTGTCTACACTTCTTTGCACTCTAACTGCAATTGCCCCTATCAAACTCACTAAGTTGACGAAATCGTACAGGTCTCCGTACTCTAGGCATCGTAACCGATCGTAAAGGATTTCAAGAACCAAAATCCGCCAACGTTGATTCTTTACTGCGGCTGAAATATTCATTTTTAGAGCGTTAGTGAATTAAAAAAAAGCAGTATAAAAACCGGAATGTCCAACTGATAAGGCTGAAAATTTTTTCACTTGTTATTTACAGTAAGATAAATACATACCAACTTTTATTAAAATAAAACCATTTAAACTGGGTGTTCGGATTTATATGTCACTTAGTATATTTGAATTCTCATTTTTTTGTGTTACTTGGTATATTGTTATATCCATGTGTCTATGATGGGGGGACACGTGTTTTATCGTATTTGGATCATTGTGAGGAAAATTGAAAAGAAAACTGTTGAAACATGCTTTGTTGCTGAGATGAGATGTCGAGATAATTTTTTTTCTGAAGGCAGTAATTTGTGAGTGGTCAAGTGCAAAATATTTGTTGATTTAGTTTGCACTATCCTTTCAAATAATTTTTAGAAACCCTTCATATGAACCTTATTTGTGAGAAAACCCTGGGTTTATAATGTGGGATGAGTAACATTAAATTTTCATTAATAATGATAATCAGTTTTGATAGTTAACAAAATAATTAATCATATTATGGTATACAAACTATTTTTGTTGGTTTCACCAGAATCATATTATATATCACATAAGTAATAAAAGACATGAAATAGATCAACAAATTGAAAAGTAAGAACATAACTATATGTCTAGCTGACGTGATATCACAAAAAAAATGTGAGCGCTCATGCTAGGCTGAATATGAAATCTCTCAAAACAATAATTCCAAACGAAAGTCACATTCGATAACATCCTTAAATCCAGACTATGATATAAATAGCAGAAAACAAAACTATACTATAAATGTAAATCTGTATGTCACAAATATTTGATATAGGAACGCATTACATATCTGGTACAGAACAAACACCTCTTGCATGAGGGTACGGGAGATCCCTATTATATTAACGACGTATTCGCATTCATAAGTTAAAAGGAAAGACAACAACGATAATAAATACGGCAATGACCTATCTTTGTTTAAAAACTCTCCATTCTGGTTCTGATTCAATTGTACTACGATAAAGTACCCATAATTATCAAGTATCTTTATCACGAATTTAGCGGCACAACAAACAAAAGGCATGTTGTTCCTTATTTCGTGTTATTAGTTTTGCAATATAGAAACGCTCAATGTTGTAAATTATCAGAAGTTGTTTATTGACTTTTTCATATCATGCATTCAATAACCATAGCAAAAAAGTATGCATCAATTCGGGTAAAAGCAAAAAACTATACTTTGTACACATAACTGGCAAATTAAGCCTCACTCTATACACTCTAGTTGAAAAAGGGCTGTTCAAAAAGTGTATACCAAAATTCGCTCAAAAGAAGCACTATGTTTTTTCAGATGTATATTTTATATTTGCATAAAAAATATGAAGCAACAAAAATTTCAGTGAAATAACCTAATTTCGTGAGTCAGATTTTTGCAATCTATTTGATTTCATTAACTATAAATACCTTCACTCGTATTTCAAATTGTTTATAATAAAAATACAGAAATATCACAAAATGTAGTTAATTAACTTATCTACCTCTTGTGGGATGCTTAAGAAATTCAGTGCATAGCCTCACAGTTACGTCAAGTTCGTCTCCGCAGTGGTCGACTGCACAGATTGCTCAGAATTCATGTTGATAAATGAAATTTTGATTTTTTTGTTTTTCATACAGCTCAAATGATAGAGAAGAAGAGTGAATATAGAATCTAATAAAATACATCACAATACTAGACTACTATACTATCACGAAGTTTTGAACATTTACCTTAACTGTGAAAAGTGACTAAATGCTTTATTATATGGTAGATGCGAATTATTTCAATGAAATGATGTATGTTTTTGATAAATTTACATATACTGAAAATCTGATTAAATTTCAAGCTACACAGTCCTACATAAGCATAATGTCCTACCGCGACTTAAATGGTGTAAATTACATATTTTGTTCCTCGACATTTACGGTACAGCTAAGCATTTAAACCTATCACATTAGCGCCAAAGAAGTATTTATATTGTATCTCTAATAATGTTCGTATATCTAATGAATTTCCCGCATTTTTTATCGGACCTCTATACGCTTCCTGCGATCAATCACAGAACTAAAAATTGTGGCCTTAGAATAGAATCTAGGGGTTTTGTGATGGCATTTTGTAATCAAAACATCTATGAGGTAAAAGAAATTAGGAAAACTGGGAATTTCCAGATCATCGTTCTCAGGCGACACATTACAACAGTTTTTGAAATTTTTGTCCTGGTAATAAAAACTCGATCAAACCCGAGTCGAACCTGATAATGCTGACATATAATTAAAGGACCAGAGTCCGTATGCATGGTTTTCGGCCCTGAAAATAACTCATATTTCATTTTGTTTGCATCTGTGACATTTTTGTACATGAATATTTTATACTTTATGTGTTTTGAACATTCTTGTATTAGCGAAAAGTCTTATCACTGTGAAGAGGTAAACAGAAATTATAGGGTTTCCGGATCAAGTCATAGACACACTTCAATTTAATATAGGGCTAACTGGAAGAGTAGCCTATGGCTTATCTCGCCCTCCCAATAAAGACCATTTGTTGCTTATTATTATTAAATAGTTTTAAATCCGCGTCACCGATATTTTTCAAGCAGGTACGGAAGAAAATTCAAGGAACTGAACAAAAAAAATGTTTGAGCAAGACCTGAAAACTGAACAGTATATAGCGTTTTCCAAAAATGTATCCGCCACAAAACGCTGGCGAATAACCACAGAAAAATATTTCAAAGGGTGATCAACGATATTCACATTACTTGGAGCGAAAATGTTGGTGCCATAGTTTCAGACAGATGCATATTCTAAGCTGTTTTAATCGTATTATTTATATTTTCACTTACCTGTTGATTTGTCGAGGAAGCGAATACATGGAAGACCGCTAGGGCAAGCAGGATGAAAAACAGCGTGTTGGTGATCATGGGCATCTTCTATTTTTTATTAAAAAAAAAACGGAGTCTTGAGATATCCAAGAGCGCAAACAGCCTATTGAGAGTTCCAATTGAAGAGCGCAAACAAGTGCTGAATTGTATCGACGTCTGACGGTAAGCAGGACTGATCAGTGGACCTCGTGGTGGTTCTGCTGGGTACTGCTTCTGCTTTGGCTGGAATTCACCGCTCGGTACTCGCGCAAAAGTGGAAGGAACAAGATTCTTCGAGTCAGACGCGCCACATCGCTCTTATAAGGTTCGATCAGGCGCGCGCATCCCAATACCAATCTAACGTTTTTTTAGCTACTACTTCTTCGGCGGTAACGAATTTCGTTCGGAAAAGAATTTTTGCTACCTGATCACGATTTGTTACATTAGATTGGTTATAGGACAATAGGGTGGCCATTTAGAGTTTTAAAACTGAATCGGCTATAAAACGAGAACTCTGTATTTTTTCAAATTCTTCATTTTAATGGAAAAAATACTCGCCCGACAGTACCTCATCCGATTAACAAAACTTTTTCGATTGTTCGAGCTTGAATGGTAACTTTGTTTTTGTGTTTCAAGACCTTAGTGGTCTCTGGATGGTTAACATAATATTTATGCGTGAATATACAAAAATTGGATAACTCTTAGACATATTTTGTTTACTATAGTTTTCAAGTCAAATGTCTACAAATTCGGTTATTTAAGACAGATAATCTAATTAATATATTGTTCCAAACAGGGCCAGTCACTTTTATGAGTAGATTTTGAGATATTTAGATTTTTCTGAAATTGACCGCCAGGGTACTGACGAAAATAACATAGGACTGACAAAGTATACCGTTTCATCGAAAACATGTGGAATTTATTAGACCTTTGAACAAATATATTCGAATTTAATAACTGCACGTCTTATAGTTATAGTAACTATTAACAATAAGTAAATAGGGAATATCTGGTCTCAAATGGAACAGTATTCAAAAACTATCCACAAAGATTTTTCATACCATCCAGTAAATACAGGGTGACTTCGAAGTTGAGTCATTTATTTTAACAGTGAGTAGATCTGATCAAAAGAAATGTTTTTTTCCTTTACCATTTTTCTGGTGAAATTAAAGTAACAAAGTTATAGCCCTTTGGAAGTTTGAGTACTGCCCTGTCTCAATAATAAGATGTTCGTGTTTGGCGACAACGGATATAATCCGCCTGACCGGTTCATCGCATCGGAAACAAAAAAGCGAAAGAATTTGAAACGTTTATCACGATGTTTTTCGTCAGTCGATAACGCTTTAGTGAATAGTAGTGTTTGTTGCGTGGCTCAAACGAAATCAAAAATGGCACATGTTTACGAAAATGCTGAACTTGTGGACATGATTCTTATTTACGGGGGGACAGTCTTTACAAAATGCTCCCGGATGCATCACGGATTTATGCGAATCGGTTTCCCAATCGAGTGCAACCAACCCCTCGTGCCTTTGTTAATGTAGTACAAAGGGCTCGTGAATCAGGTGACTTAAGACCTCACAGGTCAGGGCATGCTGCTCCAAGACCGCACGATCAAATACAGGTCCGCACTGAAATACTTGTCGGGACGATACTTTATTAAACAAGGTAACATTTTTTTTTTATTTATTTTTTTATTTTTACACACATATTTTGGATTATCTTCCTTCTACAATCACTATCTGAAAATTAATGACTCAACTTCAAAGTCACCCTGTATATGATACACTTGCTGAATGGTATTATATATTATAAGACACTCATTCTTTATTTCCAGCTACTTGACGACTGTTAGCATCGTCTTATCAAAATGTCCAAAACCAAACGTTGCACTTTGATTATTTTTTCTTTTGCAAGCTTATGTCCAGTCTTTTACTAAGTAACTGCTCTGTTTTGTATTCGGCGCTTTTAATTCGGCTTTCCTTTTGTTCTTTAATATATATTCTTTAGACAATTTCTATTTTTTTCAGGAGGTTTAAACTGTAATAAGTAAAAGAAATACACACAGATGCAGTTAAGATAAAAGCGATCTAAACAAAAAAAAAAAAATCAGTACCGTGGCGCAATATTAGACAAAGGACTGACGATAAAGTACTGACGAAAATGACCTTATTTTGAGATTGTAATTCGAACTAATGTTTCTTTTGGTACTTTGGAATATCAACAAGCTATATTTTAACATATTATAGTTAACTAGATATGAATCAAAATAAAACTGAAGTTTGTAAAGAAACATCGTCTCACCATAGTACTGATATTTTGACTGGATCGGCACGTATATTCACAGTAACCACGACTCTAGCAGCTGTCAAATGTCACGGTATGCAGCTCTCTTCACTTACCGACGTTAAAATTTAACAGGGATGCAACCTGGAGTCGGTGATATTTGGCGAAAATTTTATATTTGAGCAACACACAACGGACTGACGAATGGAACTAAACACAAAATTTCTTAATTTTTTATAACTAACGGTGGAAATATTAAGTATATTATGAAAGTTGTACTATAGGTAAGTACATGACAGATTGTAGTGAAATAGCAAATTTTCTTGAATTAATGGTAATGTTCAATAGACGGCCACTTGATTGTACGTTTTTGGGATTGTGACATGCCAAAGGACTGACGTTTTGAGGATTTTTTGTATTTTTCCAAAACTTGTATTCAAAATAAATCGCTGCAATTGGGCGACCAAATAAAAGACTTTTAGTTGTTTTGAAATAAAATTAAATATAAACAAAATTTAATAAAACCTCATATCTATTGATTGATGACATTGAGTTACCCATTTTTTGTAGAATCACCCTTATGCTTAACTGCTTCCCCCAGAAAATAGATCAGCTGGTTCAAATCTCATCTCAGAGGCAGCCAATCAGAGTTTAGGCTGACTATATGGTTTTCCAAAACGTGGCCCAAAAGATCAATTTTTACGATGGCTGTATGGCAATGGACACTGTCCTATTACTAAAAAATGTATATGCCATTGATTTCAACTCTTGGAAACAAAGATCCGTTGACCATGACACGTTAAGGCTTGCCATTGCCTGAAGGGTAAGCTCCTTGCCGATTATCTATATTCATGATTGTTCAGAGCTTTACTCTTGGTTTAAGTATTGAACGTCAGTAGGTCTGTCAGGTCTCGTTGCCCAGATACTAAACAAGGTCAGGGAGAAACAAGGGGGAAGAAAGAAAGGAAGAAAAGAGGGAAAGCAAAGAGAAATAATTGCGCCAATTTGAGGGATGCCTTGGCATTATTAGCTAGTATTCTGAAATTTTAAATTGATCCTAAAATTAATTTAGAGATTGGTCGTTGAATAATAATTATAATTTTGGTTGAACCTATAGTCGAATGATTTAATTTTGTTTACAGTGAGAGCCGCGGCCTTGTGTGCCCGAGAACTTGCTCAACTGTGTAGTCTGCTGACTTGCGCAATAAAAGATTCCTATGCGACTCCGCTTGACAATAACGTAGCTGCGCTTGTTCTTCGATGTAGTCCCTTAGATGAGGAATGTTAAGGTCTCTGCGATGATGTCGAAAGAAAATGTACAGTCTAGTAAGTTTAGTCTCCAATATTTTAAAATTCCAGTCAACTTTATACAGAAATTCATACTAAACTTTACAGTTTTTGATCTAGGATTTTTTAGAGAAATCAAGGTGCTAAATATTTGAAACTCTCTTCATATTTCATACTATTTTTACACAAAATATCTTAATAGAATAAAAACAACATCATCACATACGTCCTAGCTTACGCAACTCAATGCAAATAAATGAATATCTTTTATCTGTTTTCTAAGATAATATTCAGGACCGCGCTGGTGTGAATCGCTAAAGGGCCTAGGAGCATAAGAGGGGGTAATTGGACTTTTCACTTTTCGAAATTACACCTAGCTAGGCTTGTTGAGAATAAAAAGACGTGCTCTTAGCTAGCTGCATTAGAAGGTTTTTTGTTTTTTTTGCGCCATATTGAAAGTCTTTATTGCGCGCATGAAACACAATTTTATTTCTTTTTTTTTGCTAGAAATTCAATTTTTAAGACTTTTATGATATTGTTATAATAAAATCTGTTTAACCCTCGTTATGATGAAAAATATATATGTGATGTCTCTTTAGTAGATCTATGTCCACGAATTTTTTCATAATTTACGATGGGTGATAGGGAGTCAAAAAATTCAAAATCTGTTTTTTTTTCGCTATTTTTCCTTATTATTTTTTGGAAAACATTCCAATTTTATGATCGCAGGTAATTATTTATGTCATGTACAAACATTCGCTTAATGCAAATAAAAAAGATTAATTGAAAATATAATAATCAAAATATTACAACAGAGGCATAACTTAAAAAAAAATTCTACCGATTCATCTTGAATCTTTTCAATCCAAAAGCTATTTGAAAACTATATTCTACAGAAAACAAAAAAAGTAATAAAATTGTAGTCTGTTCTAAAGAAATAGCAGAAAGATTTTGCATTATTTGACCCCCTATGACTCCCTCAAAAATTATAAAAAAGGTCTCCTAAAGACACATTACTATATTTTTTTCATCATATTGTGGAATAACAGGTTTTGTTAAAAAAAGTTTCTTAAGGCTAAAAAAGTTGAATTATCAGCTTACATTTTTTGGAAAAACTGGTGTTTTCAAGACCTTTAATTTAGCGCAAGCACACGGCCCTTTGATCTGGTCTTGACCACTAAGGAAAATTATATAATATATATACCTAATATAAATCTATTACTTAAAATAAAATATAATGTCTGTGGACATGATATAATTAGGCCCAATATGATAAAATTATGTGGTTGTTCCCTTGACGAAAATTATTTGCCCTTCAGCGTATTCCGACCAGCGTCCCACTAGTTTAGATCCAATTTTGTCGAAAATATTAGAAATATCGTTCTGTAAAATCAGTCTGGTTTCCAAGAAGGAAATAGCGCCACCACTTCCCTGCTAAAGATGACTGATGATATTGTCGAGGCTTCCAATCGACGTCAAGCAGCGGCTCTTGTACTACTCGTACTTGACTCCTTCAATGCTTCCGACACTTCCGTTTTTGATGTAAATATATCGGATTTTCTCAAGCTTCTATCATCACTTATCTATCATTCTGAGTACGAGGACATCTATGATATATGAAATATATAATAGGTGCATAGAATTACCGGAGTTGGGAGCGTATAAATGTGCTAAGATCAAAAATTTTCCATATAACCTACCCCGCTGCCTACAACCTCCAACCCTCGAATTTCAATTCCTACAGATATTATTCTGAAAACGATCAGAGCCTCTGAAAGGTTAAAAAACGAAGTGTGGTTATTTTTTCGTTTTTGGATTTTTCCTCTGGCCCTATTGGAGCGATTTTCAAAAACTATTAAGCTTTTTCGTCCTTGGCATAGTGGCAACCTTGTGTGAAAATTTCGTCAAAATCCGAGCGGTACTTCTCAACTTATACACGGACCAAAAATTAGCGGACAGACAGACAGACAGACCGAGGGAAGTGTCATGGTCTTTCGTGATGCACAATACTTCCTCGCCCAGTGGCGTAGAAAGTAAGAACACATTAAAATTGGGGGCGCTAATTTTAGCACCTGAATCCAGTTGAGTACTGTCGGTTCTATATTTGTGTTCTCCAATTTAATGTTCAATAGATAAAATTCAAAGAAAAGTTTATTTACATAAACTATAGGTTAGCTAGCGGTTTTGCTACTTTGGCACTCTGAAGCAACAAAAACTACCAAACTCAAATGGTCATTGGGACATATCAAAATTGTGAAACGAAGGACAAGCAAATAAAACTACTTTATACAGTCACGACACTTGGAAGAAATAATTTTATTTAGTACAGTTTTTTGTTTTATTAATATAAGCCACAAGCGGCACTTTAGTACCCAACTCATTTATTACACATGACGAAAAAAAAGGTGGTGCGATGTGACATACCACCCAAGTACGCAAGATATTAATTAATGTAGATATTTCTAAGCCGCGCCGACAGGGTATCAAATTGATCCATCGTCATGTTTACTTGCATATTTCTTCATTCGCTTGATCAGCATCGATTAGCTTATTTTGATTTTGGTATTATATTTACGGCGGCTGGTATTTTAATGAATATTGCGATTTATAGACCACACAAGCAAATGGGAACTACCACTATCATATTTCTGATATATCTTATCTGCGAACAGCCCACTTAAAAAAATGGAGATCAGAAAGATGACACGCCTCCCGCATAAGTTCAGAAGTAGCGATTTGGACAGTGCATAGTGGGGGGAACCAAGTCGATCGCCACGATTTTTACTCTAAAAGTATACCGAGGTACCGATAAGAAGCCTCAAAATGATGTATCACGTGACCTCCATTTGACAAAATGTTTCAAAATGGCGCCCAGCCCAGATTCTTCACTCGATGATTCTAAATGAATCACTAGTACTAGTCTCTCCAAACATTTTTTAAAAGAAAACTGGTCGAAGGCTTTTCTGTAGAATGTCAAAAAATTGTTTTAGTAGAATGGGATATAAATATTTCATTTATTTCGATGCGTTCCTCAGGCAACCTCATATTATAATTTAGCACACAACTCATGGCTGACACTGGCAGTTAAAAGTAGATGTATGTAGTGTCAGTTTTAAAATTTTATCACTTCACGCTTAGGGATTTGTACTTTTCCAATTAAGCGGTATAAGGATGAATTTATTTTAAACAATAATGTTTCTTACGTATTTTATTAATAACTTGATAACATCGGGTATACATAAAGGTTTTCAGGAATATCTATGTATATACGTGTAGATGATGACAATACCTATTTATAGCACAATATAACAAGTAACAACAATTATACAAAATAATTACAGTCCAATGCTCATCTAGTGGCGAATGTTATTCTTAAACGAAAAACTCGTAACACAATTGGATCAGTTGAAAGTTATTTCAGGATTTCATTTTTAATATACAAATAGCATCAAATATAATAAGTAAATTGTGAAAAAGGTGCTTTGACCATATGCAATTTATAAATGGTGAACATATTTTTATAACCTCCACATCAAATAGAACTTCACATCAAATATTTGGACATGTTTAGAACAAAAAATATGAGTGATTAAATGAAAACCTGAGTATTTAATAAGTATCAAAACACTTTTTGAAAGCTTGAAAGCTTTGCCGAGCACATTTTGTCTTTATATGCTTCGTATTTCCGATATGAAACGCAATTTATCAGATATTTATTTATTGTACTCGATAATAACGAAGACAGAAATTATACTCTTTACGATTCTTCTTCTTCTTGCTTTGCTGTCAGAAGCGCTATAAAATCTTGAGTCTCAATTTTTCCATCGTCATCGATATCCACTGCATCGAAGGCATCATTCACCTCTTTCTCTGTTAGCCTTTCGCCCCAGGTCATAAGAGCATGGCGAAAACTGAAAAATAGAAATGCTGTTACTACTCGTACATACCTCGAAGCCAGTTTTAAGAAGGGATTTATTTGCACTTAAAAACATGACGTCAAGTAGATTGACTCTATACTGCCTATGCCTTATTAAGCTTCCAAACTACAATTTTCATCCCCTTCAAGCTGTGTCTGAAAATGAGCAGGAATCTCTGAAACGTTGTACTACTATATTCCATCAATATAATTTACGCCGTTTCTGAATCAATTTTCAAAATCTACGACCCTAAACGATGGAAATATTAAACTCGCGCCAATATTTGAACTTCGATTCACAAGTTTTCTGTTGCTTAACGATATTTGAATCACACACGTCCGTGTTTCTCAGTTACGTCGGTTTGTCAGTCCGTGTCTGACGACGTACATCAACGCGTCATAAGTACTAAGTTAATCTACTTGATGAAATATTCAGAGGATTATCTTAGACAGAGTAACACAAATTGAAGGTTAAGCGAGGCGAAATGTGTGGGGCATTTAATTATCATAAAATTCAGAAAAATATATGTTGAGATATAAGAACAGTAAAGTTATCATTTACAGAAGCATCGCATCCAAATACTGCTAAAATAAATGAATATTTCTCCTGTAGCGGTGTGTCAGTGAGGACACCACTGCAGGCCAGTTTTGTTACCAATTGCACAGTCGGCAGTGGCCTCTACGATGATGCAGTATCGCGTCGTGCACTCAACGCCAACAATTGCAAAGTTATCTAGAACTATAAGCACATTATACATGGGAGTTTTAAAATTTAATCAGCCCGTTGTTAGCGCGATTAGAAGCTGCTTCTTAATGATAGAAGGTATTTGATAAATACTAAAGATGTTACATTTACAACCCTCTACTACCCCCAAACCCGTTTCAACCCCTACAAAATAGTTTCCAAACATGATCAGGAGCCTCTGATACATCAAAGAACGAAGTTTCGTGTTTTTGCTCCTAGCTCCGCCATCACTAGACCGATTTTCAAAAACTACAAAGCTTTTTCATCCTGGGCATAATAGTAACCTTGTATGGAAGTTTCATCAAAATCCGAGCGGTACTTCTGAAGTTATAGGCGATTATAAAACTAGCAGATAGACCGACAGACCTACAGATCGACGGAAATGAGCGACATTGTTTACAATACTTTCTCGTCAGTTTTGGCATGGCAAGTAAAAGGTAAGACCCAACTTTCATATTCTGTTTGTCAATTCTATTTCTATATCACACTCACGTTTCTGCGTCGATGTATCCCTCATCATCGAATGCCTTGAAGGCTGCTATGATGACGTCATCCTCGTCCTGTCCACCGGTATCAGCCATCCTGGTACCAAACATGCCTAAGAACTGCGTAAAGCTGATCGGTTGTGAGCATTCTCTAACCATATCGTCAAGCTCTTTCTCGGAGCCCAATTTGCCGACGTCGTCAAAGGTACGGCGCAGATCGTCTTTTGTTAGGATGCCATCTTTGTCGTGGTCCATCAGATTGAAGGCATCTTTGAATTCGGCCACCTAGATTGGGGAGAAGTCAGTAAGCAACATTGGCGACTGCATTCGTTTAAAGAAAATATTGAATAAAATTGGATATTTTCTACGTACTCCAGGCGGATTACGGCTAAAAGGACCCGTAGGAAGTTCAGGTCACCGCATATAACAAAGAAAAATACATTTAAAAGAATTGCGAGATTTACAGCTACTTTTTCTCGTATTTTATGTTATACCTTGAAAGGTAAATGTTGAAGAGCAAACCCGCACGCTTTAAGTAGATATAGTGTGAAGAAACAAAGATGACTGACTTCTCGATATTTTCCAAAGTTTGGTGTTTCAAATCACATGATTCTCATAACCTGCTAGTTTTTCATCATAATCAGTTAAGATCCTGAAATCGGTTTTTATCGTACATTCATTAAGATAATTATGCAGGGTGGCTCAACCGTGCATGTACGTTATATTGCTCCTTAGCTGAGACTGTTTGAAGCAGGCTGTTCACCAATTATTGTCGTGCACGATACAAGGGGAAGCATTTTTAAAATATCCACAAATTCACTTTAGCTTCTGGTTCGGACCTGATTCCTGCCGTTGTATTGAAGAGATGTGCAGCGGAGCTTGCTCCAATTCTCGCGTCTCCTCGAGATATCTAACGACTCCGGCATTTTCCCAGGAAAATGGAAATTTGATCATGTTCAAACCATCCCAAAAAAAAGGATCTAAGACCGACACTTATAACTACAGGCTATAGTTTTACTTTCAGTTATAAGTAAGGTGATGGAGAGGTTCATAAATCGGGAGCTGCTGGAGTACCTCGAACGTTACGAAACTTCGGAGTAAGCTCAAACAGTTTTATGATGAAGTTCATGTCGCTGCTTGTAATATAACGGAAGCGTTTGATCAGCTGTAGCATGCTGCCCTCTTATGCTAACCTCCCAGAGAAGCTTTGCAGATGGGTGGCTGATTTCCTCTCCTCTTCATCCCACAACGTCAACGCGGGTGTTCCCCAGGAATTGGTCTTGGCCCTGACACTGTTCCTCTTACACATCAACGACCTCCTGCCCTGCACGATCAATCCAATTCACAGCTTTGCTGGTGACAGCACTCTACATACAGGAGTTCAGAGCGACAAGCCGATCTCCGCCGGTGAGCTGGAAAAAAAGACTAGCAGCGACATCCTCTCTGATGAAAGCCCTAGAAGTTATCGCTGTTCAAGGACGCAGCAATCTTGTACAGTTTAATTCTTCCATATCTCAGTACTGTACTTTGACGTATGAGCGCTCATCCGGTTTCGATGGATGGCCGAGTTCTACCAAAGAGCCAACGTTGTTTAGGGCTGAGAAGTACTTTTATCGACATGACCTACTCGCTCTGTACAAGACCCAGATAAGGCCAAGCTCCGAGTACTACTCACATGTTTGGGGTGCTTCCGCCCCGATTACATTATCTATGCTCGATGCTGTTCAGAGGACGGCAGATTGGTCGATGACTCTCTAACAGTCTCGGGACCCTTTCGCACTGGCGGGCCGTCGGCGATCCAGCTCTCTCCTACAGCTACGCCAACGGGCTTTGCTCCTCTGAGCTCTCCTCCAGGATGCTGCCGCGTGAGGTGCCTCTCAGACAGACTTGCCGGACTTCCGCCTCCCATTCTAACCGTGACAAACTTCCTATATACAGAACTGGCAGATATGACGGCTCCTTTGTCCCTAAGGTATCAAGATTGTGGATCAATATACATGTGGAAGTTTCTTTAAGTTCCTCATAGCAGACGCGGTGCCCTGGAATTAACACTTCCGCCACACATCAAAGCTGCGTTTTTTATAGCTTGCCCTATTTCTTTTTCATATTTGGATTGGACCTTTTAATTGCTGGGCTGTTAGGAATTTTGACTGCTCACACATCCACCGTTTTCATAAATGGAGTACTGAATTTTGCGTAAAAAATTGATACCTATTTGAATGTCAACCTCACATATCCATTTTTCGAATGTTTGATTTTGTACTGATGTACTGGGTGGCCAAACATATCAAACATAGTTTTTCTTAAGAAAAGCAAATGAGACGCTCAATATATTTTTTCTGTCTCTCTTCAACTTTTTGTGGTTCAACAATGGCTGTAAATTATGAATATTTTAAAAAATGCTCTTCCAAATATCACGTACAGCTCCAAAGCACAAAACATATGTTTATGCTTCAACACAACTGTTGGTTGGAGAAAAGCGGATCCCGCCTAAATATCAGCTCAAACTGATATATAGGGTTCCTTAATGATATGCGAATATTTTAAGCGTGTGAATCTATATGAAAAATTAATGTTAGTTTGCTTTATAAAATATGGTTAAAAAATGATTCCTTACAAAAACTCGGGTTGTTGAAGTTTTAGGAAAAAAAGGAAATTAATTAATATTTTCAGAACCGCTTCAGATATTTCACTGATATTTAGTAGTGAAAGTTAATAAAGTTGCATATTTTTCAATGCATAAATAATTTTTAACTTTAACTGTGGCGTGCGTACGGGTATTGACTTCGATATTTTTTAAGAAAAAGATGGTAAGCCAATGGTTTTTTGCCAAATTAAAATTATTTTTGAATTTCCCGTTCAATTTAAAACAAATGATCTCTCTTGAATTGTTTTCCTTCGATGAGCCATTTTTGAGTAAAAAAATAAAAACCGTTCTATTGTCCGAGAAAATTAATGTAATAATTGAAGAATGCAATTTAGCAATAAGTATCTAGTTGCTCTGGAATATGTCACTGTCTTTTGACATCGGACAAGTCTCTGTTATTCAACTCTGTTCGCTGTGACATCTTTTTCATTATTTAGTTTTTACAATGTTGTTAATAATGGTGAATTATTCAAATGCAGAAATGGCGGAAATGCATTACGTATATGGCCTTGCCGACGGTAATGGTGAGCAAGCCAGACGGATTTATAACCAGAGATATCCCAATCGTGCTTTGCCAGATAGTCGAACCTTTTCTAATATTCATCGTCGTCTTGTTGAAACTGGTTCTGTCCGAAAAGGAACATCTGAAGGTAGACCTCTAAGTGTGATAACACCTGAAATTGAGGAAGCAGTGCTGCACGAAGTCAAACAACATCCTGAAATGAGTACGAGGAAGATCGCTAGATACTTAAATATTTGCCATCAAATTGTTTGGAGAATTTTCGTGGATTTTTTGTTATATCCTTACCATATTTTGAGTGTTTCCATTGATTTTCCAAGGCGTGTGACCTTTTGTCAGTGGTATCTTCAAAAAATTACACAAAATCCGCAATTTGAATCAATGGTTCTGTTCTCGGACGGAGCTATTTTTTCTCGAAATTCCATTCAGAATTTCCACAATAATCATTAGCGGGCAGAAGAAAATCCCTATGACGTAACCGAAACCCATTTCCAACACCAATTTTCGGTTATCGTATGGGCAGGAATTATTGGCAACCACTTTATTGGCCCATTCTTCTTGCCGGGACGACTTGACGGCAGACTTACCTCAGTTTTCTTCAAGAACAGTTGAGTTTGCTGCTTGATGATGTTCTGTTAGTAATAAGAAATGATATGTGGTACATGCATCATGGTGCACCAGCGCATTTCAGTGTAGCGGTTCGTAATTATTTACAAACTGTTTATCCAAATCGTTGGATTGGCCGCGGTAGGTCCCAAGAACGGCCACCAAGGTCCCGAGACCTCATCTTAAGACACTAGTGTACACAAGTCCCATTAACACTGTGGAGGAATTAAGAGAAGGAATAGTTGCAGCTTGTGATAGAATAAAAAACACTCCAGAGATATTTCAACGAGTGCGCAATTCCATGAGAAGGAGGGCGGAAGCATGCATACCAATTGAAAGGGGCCATTTTCAACAGTTTTTGTAATCATTTCGTTGGTTTTAATGTCATGTTCATGTTGACAGTTGTTGTTCTTCATTACCCCTAATGTGTTTAATAATAGTTAGACAATAGAACGGTTTTTATTTTTTTACTCAAAAATGGCGCATCGAAGGAAAGCAACTTAAGAGAGATCAATTGTTTTAAATTGAACTGGGAATTCAAAAATAGTTTTTATTTGGCAAAAAACCATTGGCGTACCATTTTTTCTTAAAAAATATCGAAGTCAACATTCGTACACACGCCACTGATAAAGCTAAAAATTATTTTTGCATTGAAAAATATGCAACTTTATTAACTTCCACTACGTACTAAATATCAGTGAAATATCTGAAGCGGTTCTGAAAATATTAATTAATTTCCATTTTTTTCCTAAAAATTCAATACCCCGAGGTTTTGTAAGGAATCATTTTTGGACCATAGTTTATAAAGCAAACTAAAATTAATTTTCCATGTGGATTCACACCCTGTATGGTATGTATAGGCCCTAGTATGTTTACTTACTTCTAGTTAGTCCTCCATGTTTGATAATTTTAACTCAGCTTTTAATGAAGAAATTTTTATTCTTTTTAAACACAATTATTTATTTCTTGCGAAAATCTGATACCAAGTCCTTCCGAATGCAGGAAGGTCAAGTTTTCTCCATCGTTCCAAAAGCATAGTCTTGGATTATTAAATAAATAGTGCAGTTTTTTATTTATATAAATCTGGAACCTGAAATCGCAGAAATATACGAAACGTCCCACTTAAATTCTACAATAAATAATACATTTCGGTTATTTCACCACACTGTGCTAATTTAACAAGAAATACAGAAAACGGATAAATTATGTTGAAACTAAGGACAATAATAAAGTTATCACGCATACATTTACATCTGAAAACGTGGCTTCAAGTATGTTGACTCTACACCCTTATCAGTACAAAAAGGAATATGTTCAACACAAACTAGACTCCCTGATCTCAGTCAAACAGGTCCCATCCCCTTACAACCTCCACCCCCAGGTTCTCTTACCTCAATTTATTAAAAAAAAACGAAGTATGAGCGATTTTAACTTGTTTAGTTTTAATGACTGAGATTGTTTTTCGTGACGTGCACGTCGTATAATAACCAAAAAGCATGATATCTCATTACAATACTTTCCGCCAGTAGGCATGGGAAGTAAAAATGGCGGACGTGTGGATTGTCGAACTTTGGTGTTATTTCAGACAAAATTTCTAAGAGCTCAGCAAGTAACTTTCAACACTTAGGAGTGTGTTATATCAATGTTCTTCTTTCAAATGGACTAAACTCAACCTTGTGCGACTCAAAAACGGGACACCCTGTATAATCGTGAATTCATTAAAAATGTTTCCCTTTGAATAGTGCACAACAAGCCACACTCATTTTATCCAAAAAGTCTTAGTTTAAGAGCAATATACCATTTTTATGCACGGCTTGGCCACTCTGTCCAACTACCTCAATGAATTTACGAATATTCATAAAAAATCGACATTTACCAGATTATGATATAAAATTGGGTGGTTATTAGAATAATATATTTTGAAATAACAAATTTTGCAAGATATCGAGAGCCGAGAACGGAAAAAATATTTCTTGCAGCCGGTCATCTTGGTCTTGATAATATTTTGAAGATCTAATATGGAATAAGCTAATTAAAACTGGAACCTCTGTGGTAAAAGTTAATTTCTGGTTATATGTCCAGAAGCCTCAAACAGCTAAAAATACAGTAATTGACAAAAGTATGTAGACAAATATGAATATTTACCTAAAAAACTTTAGAAAACGAATTCATACTTCATTGTGCTCCATAAACAAATGCGTTATTAGTAGAATAACTAAATTCCTTGTTTTTACCTTATCTGCAATGAACACAATACAAGTCTGAGTATAAGCACTTTTTTATGAGGGACAAAAATATGTAGACAAATTCTTTTCAACATTAGTTTGGTACAGTTTCGTGTCAGAAGAGGATTAGTTTGTGTTCATCAAGTATTGTGGCATAAGTGGAGTGATTTTAAGACCATGCCGCGTTGTCCAGAAATTTCTTTCGATGTGAAAACTAAGATCATTGAGTTATACAAAGATGGTCAAGGTCAAGTCGACATTGCTAAAAATTTGAAGCTGAATCGTAAAGCAGTTTGGGCAATATTGAACAAATATAAACAAAAAGGTATCTTAGAAGCCTCTAAGAGAAGTGGTCGGCATAGAAAACTAAATGCTAGATCAGTTAGATTAATAAAAGTAATTTCGTTCAAAGATCCGTTTAAAACCCCAAGACAAATAAAAGCCGAAATCGAGACAAAAGGAATTGTCAGTGTTTCTACGAAAACTATAAGTAGAAGATTAAATGATTTGAAGTTATTTGTACGTCGCCCGAGTAAGAAGCCGCTAATCTCGAGGAAAAACCGTAAGGACCGATTACAATTTGCATGGTTGCATCTTGATTGGAACATCTGTGACTGGAAGAGAGTATGTTTCAGTGACGAATCCAAGTTCAATATGTTTGGATCAGATGGTGTCCATTACGTTAGACGTCCTAGTGGACAAAGATTGAACCTCAAGTAGGCTTTGCCCACTGTCAAACAAGGAGGCGGATCTGTTATGGTTTGGGGGTGCTTTTCGGGGTTTGGGATGGGACCTTTACATAGAATAGATGGCATTATGGATAAGTTTGTATACACAAGACAATATGACCTTAAGGTCAATCTTCCACTAAGATAATCACCTGAAGCGCACTTCAAATCTCGCAAGGAAATTCTTTCTGGATGAAAAAATACCAGGTCTCAAATGGCCTTCACAGTCTCCCGATATAAACCCCATTGAAAATCTATGGGAATACTTAGATAAGCAAATACGAGATAAAAATTATTCAGACAAGGATGAACTTTTTGCCGCTTTAGAGCAAAAGTGTAGGCAGATTGATGAATCTTATATCAAGAAACTGCTACAATCTATGCCGAGACGATACCAGGCGGTGATTGATAATAATGGTTATGCTACAAAATATTAACACAAACATGGTTGGTTTTCTGTAATTCAATGAACTTTGCTTCATTTTCTATAATTGTTTTGCTTTGTTTGTCCTTCGTAGTTCTAGTTTTTTCAATTAATTTTTTATTGAAGGGAGTCTAATGAATTTATTTATGTATAAGTGAGTATTATGCTATAACGAATTATGTATAGAGGTTGGTGTATTAATAAAACAAGTTAAAAAAGAAATACAGCACAATATTAATTTGTCTATATACTTTTGTCCATTACTGTACTTCATAGTGTATATCTATGTCAGTAAATAAATGTTGAACAAAAATTGGTATTTTTATTTTAAACATTTAATACTTACAAATAAACTGCAAAACATCGTTGGTGTCATAGGTGTTGTATGATCACAAAATATCTAGCCATGTACAACATAAAAATATATTGACGCTTTTATACAATTATTACTTATTGTTACGATACATGGTTTGCAGAATGATGTTCATGTACAACAAAAAGTTGATGGAAAACAGAACCAAAAGTGACATAGGATGTTTTTTTCAGCTGGTCATGGTCAACTTTTGATACTGTGGTCTTAACCAGTGCGAGTGACAGGCATTGTACGAATTTAGGCTGCTTCGCCCTCTCCCTCATCTTCAGGAGCAGCAGTCAGGAGTTTGATCAGGTGCTCGGTGTCGATCCTGCCTTTGTCGTCGATTTCCATGCAGTCGAAGGCATCATCGACTTCTTTGGCGGAGAACTTGTCGCCCCAGGTCATCAAAGCGTGACGGAATCTGGAACAAAAATGTTAATATCAAATAACAAATGATCAATAGAGGCAATACCAAATTTTTATGTAATATTTAAAAAAAAGCTGACGCGGTTTTATTTTTGGGGGAACAAATAACAAATACCTATACGCGTTTATTGTCCTTTACTTCTCCGCGCATAAGAGAGAGACGAAGGAGGTACTGTGAGCGCAAAAGTCACAAGCTTTTTTGTGGTTTTTTTCGATAAATACAACACGAGAATTTACATCATTTCCGTCGACATTTATTGTGGAACAGATTAGTTCAGCGCGTACTTATGCTCCACCCAGGGCCGTATGCTCCGCTGTTCGATTTTCGTCCACCGGCGCGCATGACGTCACTCGGAGAGTGATTATCATTTGGGTTGATATGGAAAACGTGCATATTTTCACCTACAGGCCAAACCGCTGGACGGATTTTCACATATGAGGTGTCGTTGGATTCGTCTTAGCGGTGCGAGTGACACTAGCTACATTGAAATTTTATAAAAAACAAAATGGTGGATTTTAATGAAAGATTTCATCCCTGTAATTCCTATTTCACAGGCTATAGCTTAAACGCTCTCTAGCTCCACAATAGAGCGTAAAAACTGTAAAAACAAGATAACTCCATTTTTCTACATTACCTATATTTTAGTATGTTCTGTGGAGCAGGATTAACATGTTCATAATACTGTACTGCATTTATCCTTATTCCACAGAACATCCTAAGTACATGTAAGTGTAAGTGTACGCAACTCGAAATGTAGAAAAATGGAGTTACCTTCTTTTTGCAGTAAGGTGGTGGTATAACAATAAATGGAAATGACTTAGTCTAAGCAACAATTTTTTTCCATTTCCTTCTACGATTTTTCTGGTCTTTCAAACTTTTATTCAGTTCGTTGATCCGGATGAACATCCTTGACTTGAAAAACAGTTTTTTAGCTTTTTCAGGGCTGTCAATGTTGCTGCTCTTCAACAGAAGTTCACCTATAAAATTTTGCTTTTTTGTCACTATTCCGTCCCCATTGAATGTAGTGAATACCTTGTTCAGCTTCTCAATTTGATTCATGAAAGTTGCGGAAGGTTTTGATAATCCACCCTCACTAAGATGGTCTATCCATGAATAAGTTTCATTTGAGTAACTTTTCAACCTCTCATCCTGCAATATTTATTGCAAGCAAAGCCGGCCAAATTTTCCAGCCCGTCATACTCGAGCTCATCTATTTCTTTCACTAAAACTTGCTCGGTATAGTCAGCTGGTACTTCAGGTGCATTCAGTTTATTCTCGTTAATGATGCAGTTAGTGGTTAGTGGAATGTCTGGAGTATCCTCTGACTCTACGCTGCAATAGGTACTCTTAGTACGCGCCTTCGTTTCGCCCCAACATATATGATCTTAAACTATACTAAAGCTATAGAGGACTTGTATGGTCATGAACACCATCTTTTGCCCTAATTACTCCGAAAAAGTTTTCTATCACATCTTGATTAAGACGTCTTGTTAACAGGTATTGGACGCTGAAGCGTCGTTTCAGATCCTCTAGAGCATTTTCTAGCAAACCCTAGCGCTTTTACATTAACTTTGTCTTATCTTTTTGTGAGATGTGGCCATTTTTTTGCTAAAGCTTGGGTCTTGAGGAAAACTGTGGAACTTCATCTCTTTGCAAAGATTCCGCTTAGATTGATTGTCGGAATTACGTCCCACAACAGCACCCCGCATTTTTATCAATTTATCAACCACACAGGATATATAAGGTAGAGTAAATTGGGGGAATATGCCGCGCTGGATAATACGCCGCAGCTTGTTAGCTTCCTTTTAAGCCTATATTTGGCAACAGTGTTAATTTTAACACGTTCTTCTAATGTAGCAATCTTCTGTGAATACCTCAGAAATCAAATTAATTAGTTTTTTAATGAATATCGTCAGTATAAAGGTAATGACCCTTAAAAAAATATCCTCAAGTTAACTTATACTCAGTGATCAAAGAAGTTGTAAGTGATTTCAATCGAATTTCAATAAGAATATGTCAACATACGATTCCTAACCTAATTTTTTTTTGGCGGAACAATCCGTTAAATGTATATAAAATAGGTGCTGCCACTTTTTGATGTAATAAGGTACAATGTGAGGTAATATGCCGACAGTAGAGAGTGGGGGGGAGAGTGGGGAATTGGAACATGATGAATCAGAATTTTGTGCCCAATGCGGTGGATACTATTTTGATAAAAAAGGTCTCAAATGTAATTGGCTGCAATGTCTAAAATGCCATGATTGGGCTCACAAGATATGTACTCCTTCAGACATATATTGTAGCGATTGTGTCCCACTAAATCAACCAGCAAGTACCTCCAGAGCTCTGGAGATATGAGCCTCGTTGTATTACTTAATAATACTTGTTATTTGGTCAGGATTATATATTTTTTCTAAGCTAAAAAAAGTTAATGCCATATTACCCATAGCTACGGATAATATGGCCATAGCGTGTCATTCGATATTCTTGCTTCCAACCTTTCTTCAGTCTGGGATTATGTCAACGAGCAGTTCACGTCACATACTCAAATACCTGTATACACGCTCTAAGATGCCGCCTTCTCCTTGTTGTTGGGTTGGTTGCTTGTCGAAATTTATGTTGCCATATTCCCCCAGTTTACTCTATGTATAACTAATACAACAAGTCACAAAACCAACAAATCGCACTATATAGTATTAACCACGATACACGTGATCTGCAGCAACGTTACGACAATCCTGCCGCTGGTAACCACGATTCGATAACTCTCCGGGTGACGTCACGAAGCTCCGTCCACATGCGCAATATCCTATCTTCAGTGTATGTGTATCGTGTCCTCCATCATATGTTTCTGCATTCGTCGTTACTGATTCTCCACTCGACTCCATCATCTGGCCAAATCAAACCACATATACATATGTTTTATCTTCTGTTAACTGTATGACCTTTTGACCACCACAGTGGTCTTTTTCAAGTACCATGACAATCACTTATGGTAAAGCATAAAAGAAAAGTCGATGAAAACAGAAGCAAAACTGGCATGGGATGTTTTTTGCTGGTCATGGTCAACTATTGGTCAATTAGTGTGAGTGATAGTCATTTTACTTAAAAAACGTCACCACGTTGGCTAAAACGTTTTAGAATAAACAGAAATGTTGTTTCATTTGGCCAGACAACGAAGTCCTGTAGACATGAGAACGACAGGATAAGTTTCTGGAGTCACATTGGATACTTCTGGTTAAAGCGTTGTTAAAAACATTATTATGGAGCTCGAAATTTGGCGTTCTTTAATGAGGCTTATTTTTGAATCAGGATTTATCAGATATGGAAGCCTCGGAGGTATCGGCTATTAAAAATTATAAAGCGAGAGGGGGGGGTGCGTCTGCCCGCAATTTTCTCGGATATTTCGGGTGGTTCGGAACCCCAGCACACCCCCCTGGATCCACCCCTGTATTGAATACATCACACTGATGTTTGAAATCTAATCTATTTAAGGAAAAGCAACTTGTAATGGCATATATGTTCGTAGGAGGGTCCTTTGCGACATTTTGTTAGAAAAATATTACATATTACAATATAAATATGATGTATTTTTGTGTGTCCATATATTCTGAGATGCCTTGTATAAAACTTTTAAATAGAGCTTATGAAGCCGCAGATTTAGATCTCATTTTGTCCAATAACATAGCTACAGGCTATGTTGTGTTTATATTTTTGTAAAATATCCGCATTGGTTAGCTCAAAACCTTCCGCTGTTAAAGCAAATAAATTAATAGTTTTTTGAAGTTGTTTTCGACTGTTGCTTACCATGCCATTACTTTCCATAATTTTCGCTGTGGTCTATCATCTAAAAAAATTATCGACGAAATAAAAAAGTATTTCATGACGACAAGCCGTACTTGAGGATCATCCAGAGATAGTATTTAAATTTAAAGTGTAGCTTATTTAATTTAGAAGATCTACGTTCAGGCCGACCACACCAAGACGTAACAGAAAAGAACGTAGAACTTGTGAAATAAGTTGTGAATGACAGGCGAATCACACAAAGACAATTGATTTTTTCTGAACTTAGTACAAAAAATGCTGAAAAAATCTGAATCAGGTGAAGAAAGTCAGCTATATTTTTCGACGTTTCAGCCAAAGGACAAAACCGAGTCTGGGCTTTCAAAAATCAGCCGATTAAAGTCAAAAAGTCGAGGTCGGTTAGAAAAAAATGGTCTTGTCTTTTTTAACAGGTAGTAGCAAACAGTGGGCCTAGTGATCAGAAGGCAGTCACAGCTAAATGGAATCTAGACGAAAGATTGCCAACTGCCATATCTATTTCTTGTCTCAAATTCACTTACTTGAGATGTATGCATAGCTAGAAATTAGTTGCGCATACCCTTTTTCTTATTCATCCTGAAAATTACATGTGCAAATTTGCTAAATTTCAAAAATGAGAGAGATAAGAAGAAAAAATTTCTGGTTGGTGGAGTACATAACAACCGTCAGGTGAGAAAATATGCCACAAACAGAAATATTCATGAAACGTGAAAATCGTATTACATTTTACATTATTTTTTATTTCCAGTCATTGAAATTTTATAGAAATTTATTTTGCTATATCTAAAAGAAAATATCAGTAATCGCCTAGGTTTGAGGGGCTGCGAAAATGTTTTGTGTGTAATGTGTCATTCCTAATGTTTCTGTGATGTGGCTTAATAACATACAACATAGGCGAGGTGGTGACTTCCCGTAATGATTCTCTAAGCTTTTTACAGCGCAACAAAAACCGGGAAATATCGTAATTTATAACTTTGAAACCTCTCTCCAGAAAGGACAACACAAATAACCCTTCTGGTTCGGCTAATAGATATACTACATGGGCAGCATATTCAGTAATGAATTTCTCACATAGAAAATATCACTGATTTTATACACATGAAGAGCAATGCACACAGTCATCCAGATGCGATCCTGCTACTCAACCAATTTTCTTTGACACATCTCAGAGATTCTACAGACTATATAGGCATTTTGCAACCAACAAAGAATGCTGGGGGGGAGGGCGTTTACTGACTTGCAGCTTGTCATTGATCGAGTAGTTGAGTCATTCCTCCACAGATTCTGCTTTTGGTGACGCTCACAGCGCTGATGGCGAGTTGACATCTATTCGATTTTTTGACATTATGTAAGTTTTTTACCTAATAACCCTGCGGTTCGTGCATATGGTGAAGTGTATTCAATATGTCGGATATTATTTTGAAAACAATAAACAGTTTTGTCATATGAAAAAACTTCCTTACCTTTCACTGTCGATAGTACCGCTCTCATCGAAAGACTTGAAGGCGGCAAGCACGACGGTGTCCTCATCGGAACCACCGGAATCGGCCATCCTGTTTCCGAACAAGCTCAGCAGCTGGGTGAAGTTGATGGGTCCAGACGCCTCGTTCAGCATCTCGTCCAACTCCTTTTCGTTGGAGAGTTTGCCGACGGCGTCAAAGGTGGCGCGCAGGTCGGCCTTCGAGATGATGCCGTCCTTGTCGTGGTCCATCAGCGCGAAGCCTTCTTTGAACTCGGCCACCTAGATGAGGTACATTAGGTTGGATGTGGATTTTGTTGAAACGGTTTTTAGATAAAAGTTAGCAGTGTAAAAATAGGCAACATCTGATACCTATCATGAATAGTATGCTTGCAATTTTTTTCACAATTATTATTGTGATTATTACTATTATTATTAGCACTACGACAGTAGGCGGAAAAGTTCGATGACACTGTTGCTTAAAGTTGTGTGATATTTCCTTGGAGATGACGATTCTGACTCATACTGAATATATGAAGGGTACATGAGTAGCAGCCACTGATGATCTTGTGTTTCTCAATCAGGTCCGCTCTTAATCTTCGCTCAGCGAGTGTTGTCAAATTCAAAACCCTTAGACGTTGTTCATATTTCAAATGTCGAATCTCTGGTGGAAATCGCGTTATTTTACGTTGCAATATTTCCAGTAGTTCGATGTCTTTGAGAAAATAGGAACTCCATACGCTGTGTGCATGTTCAAGTTTTGGTCGAATGTATCTATCTATCATAGCAGGTGTATGGTTTTCATCAGCTTTTTCAATCACTTTATGTGAATAGATTTTTTCAATTTCATTAGTAATGTGAGCTTCTCATTTTGAATCATGTCATATCATAAATCCTAGGTCTTTCTGATACTGTACATTTTTAATTTCTACCTGCCATATACTGCAGTTCTTCCCAATTGAACTACCGTAAACTTTTTGCATTAAATGACATTTTTTTAAACAGAATTAGCCGTTAAGACAAATCGTGAATGCTGTCGCATCGTGACTGCTATTAACGAGTTAATATCTTATTAGTAAGAATTTTGAAATAAGGTTAGTAAAGCTTGGAAAAACTCGTCTGGTAGAATGTTTATATTCTTGATTTCGCAGGAAACCTGACACGTTCATCTAGCAGTCCAGAAGATGAAATCAAAGGAACAAATTGCGTTAGCATATGGGTATAAAACGGCCAAATCACCATATGTCAGAAGGTTCCTATACATGTATCACTTGTAGTTCACATACAGCAAATCTATAGGAGTCAGAACGGTTTGTTTATCCCTGTTTATGCATACCAAAATACGTCTTGGTTTAGCAAGCAGGCCTGGGAGACATTTTCTCTGTTCTATTCTAAAAAACCGTTACTGGACATTAGCAAAAATATTTTTTATCAAGAGTATTCCATAAAACATGTCTCCTCACGCAGATATGATTTGCTTTAAATATATATGTGTGACTATAAAAAAAGACTACTCGAAGAATATTAGAAAATTAAGTTGCTTACAGTAAATGACATGATGTTGGATGTTGTGGAATTTTTACACTGAAAACTCCCGACAAGACAACGTACTTAAATCAAGCTAACGTAAAGCAGTAAGCAATATTATACTTACCTGGGGCTCATTATGAACACTAGCGAAGCACTGGTATTATTTAAAGCACTAAAGCTTCACGCCAAAAAGCATAAGCATAGCAAATTATATCAAAGCATTATGAACTACTAGTGACACTATTTTCGCAATAAGCTGAATAACACTAACATTAAAGGCACGACGACCAGAATTATATCCATCATATTTTTGTAATAATATTAATGTTTTGGAAATAATTCAAATGTAAGTTTTTCGTATTTAAGGAAAGTGAGCATATGTATCTATCTACCATATGTGGATGAAAAAATTATCGTAGCTAAAACAGTTTAGGTAAACTCATATAACGAATTGATCCCTCAATTGTTAAGGTCAAAGATGCATGAGCTGTTTAAGAAACTTTTTGAGTAGAAAATTGTTGTTGATTGTATTGAATATCTCTTTCATTACGACAAATAGAGTATGGATGTACACATGCAGTATGAGACCTATTTTAAAAAAGTTACAATTCAAACACTTTAAATTTTAAAAATTATATAGAAATACACATACCCGAATTATGGATTTCATAAGTGTGTTCTTTGTTGAATATTAACGCCCACACAGAGAAGTTACAAAATATTAAGACCCCGAAATTGAGAATATTTGATAATTGTTGTAATTCCATTTTTGTTTTGAGAGAAAATGACAGTGGAATTAATGATAAGCAAAATAAAGCAATGCTATTGAAGCAGCAGAGTAAGCACAGTATTTCTATATAAAAATCCATATATACCTGAGCCTGGGAGAACATGGAGAATACATTGGAGCCGGAACGTTTTGCTTTCTTTGACGAGCTCTTTGATGAAGTTCTAGTTTCTGCTGGAGCACCTTCTTCCTTTTCCTTCTTCTTCTTTGGCTTCTTTTCTTTGTCCGCCTGCACATATGTATTATTACTAACAAATCACAACTGTTTATTATTTTTATGGCAATACAGAAAGTGTGGTAGTGATAATATATTGATTATATCAGAGCTGTTCTTAGGTCGTTATCGTAACGTGACATTTCTATAATTTTACAAGAGAACACAAAAAATAAAAAATGAGTTAAGCAGATTGACTTAGTACCTTATTTTAAAACTTTTGAGCCTCCTAATTTTTTTTGCTATGACCAGGAAGTCGAAAACGTGGGAAAACGAGGTTACGTTAATTAAGAACCCATTAAGTTCAAAAAAATAATTCTTGAAAGATATTTTAATTTCTCGTTCTTAGCTCATTCACAGCCAGGGGCAGATTTTCAAAAGGTTCAAAGCTTGGCATGGTAGTAAGTAATCTTCTTTTAACATTCATCAAAATTTGAACAAGCTACAAACGACTGACAGGCAGACCGACAGAAATGAGTGACATAGTTTTTCGTGATGTATAGGTGATATAATACCAAAAAATCATATCTCGATTCCAGTTTGCAATTACAGTAGCTATTTGGATTCATGCTTGCGTGATGCAAGTCAAGAAATATTACGATTCAGAATTCAGATAGCCCTTCGTGAAAAGAAAGAGGAAACTTTCTAATATTTCTAAGAGGCTTTCTAACATAGCCGTTATTATATCTTCGTATATGAAGCTAAATAACTATAAGCTAAATTTAGCTGAAATTTCTATTCCACGGGATACAGCTTAAACAGCTTGATGTATTTCGACATACGAATCTTGATAGTGTGAGTAACACTAGGTATACAGAAATTCAGTAATTTCAAAATGGCGGATGTTAAACTTCAGCTTTGAAATTTGTATTTCACTGTCTACAGCCCAAACAGCTTGATAGATTTTGACATTTGAGGTGTCCTTCGAAAACTTCATTTTCAATTACTGCGATCGAGTTGTTTGTATTTTTCAAAATGTACTTGTATAAAAACCCTTCATAGACTGTATACGATTTGAGAATATTACTGCAAAAGTGAAAGGAAATCATCTATCCAGTCTCTAAAACAATTGGAAGCAGATCTCTGTCATCGATCTTTCGATCCTCCATTGTGGGTCCAATCCAATTTCGTGGCTGCTAAACTGAGTTTTGTGCTCCACGATTTGTATAAAAATCGTGGACTATCGAATTATTCCTACCTTAGGGCTATTTTCGACTATATAAAATAATTTGCTCTTGTGGGGTTTCCCTACTTCCACTTATTTTTCTCAGTTTCACCTTGCTAAGAACTACCTACCATTATCTAAATTTAAACAAGAATATAATACACCAAATATGTAAACCGTAACTTTTTATTTCAACAAAATATAACATTCTTGTCTGCGTAACGCACTTTGTTGCAGATTACAAAACTGTCACATAAAGAATATCTCGTTAATCATATTAAATGCGCAGAATGTTGAAATAAGCAGAACTTTTTAGCATGAGTATGACGCGATAATAAGAAGTGTTTTCTATTACGTATCAAATGCCGATATATACTGGATGATTGAGCACAATAAAGAGTGCATTGGCCACACTTTTTTTACAACGTTATACAAGATGATACGATAGATGAATTTTTCCACTCCTTTCGTAAATAAAAAGATCATGTCTCTTGAAGCATACCTCCGGATGAAACATAGCAATCATTCAAGTTAGCAATTTGTGAGACCGCTGAAATTTGTTTTCGACTTCCATGTAAAATATGTAATAAATAGCAGTATAATATGAATAACCGATAAAAATATTAAGGCCTCATTGACTCTATGCTAACTAAATGAAAAGTAATGGAGAATAGCATAGTCATAGTAGTTTGATATACCTGAAACTCAGCGGTACATACATAGGAAAGATAATACGTCTTTTGTATGATGCAAATAGCAAATCTACCCAATCCGTAGCTTAAGATCTCAACAATGGAACAAAGTCGTCTAAATTTAGTATTAAGTACAAAGAATTCTATGTTACAATTTACGTGAAAGATTAAACGGTACCAAATGATTTTAAAATTTCAGTGTTAGTATGTAAAAGATATTAAAACATTAAATTCTAAATAATTTGAGTGTTGCTGTGAGATGAAAATATATTGTTTTAAAAGTTACTTTAATTGATGGTGTTTTGTTGTATCCTTAATATTGATGTGTAATGTATAATAACGTATAACTTAAGTAAGTGTCCTGAAATATGGCTGTGCGATGTCTTGATATATATGATATGCTCTTAACCCATAAATTTAAATCATAACTGTTTGTTCTAAATGTTAGCTTGTTCCATAAACGTTTTGGTTAATGTGTAGTTAAATTATAAATTTTATAAATAACAGAAAGAAGCATTTTAACAGGTTATAAATTTTGAACCATCCTGATTCTTGGATAGAGCAAGTTCCGTCATCATATTTCCAAAGATCATTTTTCAATTGTTAACACGAGTTTTCAATTTGCTATAGACTGCAGGCGAACATTTGATCTAAACAATGCTGATTTCATATTAAATTTTGTAAATAACGATTTACATAATGATTAGGATTCCGGTATTCCATATACAACGAAATATCGATCTTATGCCAGTTGATGCAAATGAACAGGTTATGATATACCTAACTCTTGGATTAGATGTAACTTTCAGTAATAAACAAGTGTAGGTACAAAATTGTGTCTAGCAACGTGACACCAGAGACGACTGCCATAAATCAGTAAAGTCTACCTGGAGATTGCAGAATTTTTTTCATAAATGTTGCATGGGCAATGGGCATTCCATCTATGTTTGGACCTTGATCACGAAAAATTGTTTTTGGACGAACGTCTCCACGTGCTTATCCATATGAATGTTAGCCTTATTTGCACCATACGATGGATATTTCTTGGTAGACGGGATCCTAGGCTCTTTGTTGCACTTATCGAAACGCCAAAGTATGAGAATCTAATTACAGCTTTTTCACTGATTCAACACTTTTGGAGCATTTCTGGGTATTATTTTTGTAAAACGTATTGTCGATAAGTGAAAAGTGCGTACATGTACAGAAAGTAGGCAGTCTTCATAAACCAAGTCAACCTAACACTTGTCTCAATACAAAATTAAGCCCACCGTTAGTCCAGCAAAGACAAAAACCACAGTAGACTTGAAATGTCAAATCGCTAAGTGCTCAGTCTGAAAAAGTCTGCATGACCTGCCCTAAATATTGATTCCGACAGCGTATTTCCAATTTTGGCAAGGAATTGGGAACCTATTTACCGGTACCAAAATAGATGGGTCACATTACAACTGTTTTGCCAGACCCGGGTCCCGAGCGAGGCATTCTAAAATAGAACATCGGTATTTTTAACTTTCCATAACATGGAGTATTCTGTTCGGTTGTTAGATAACTTCGCTTACGAAATTATGATTTTAATAGGTTAACATGACACATTCCTTATTTTTCTCTTAGGAGACCATGAAGAACCTCAACTGCTAGTTAAGGCATACTTACTGGTGCACTAGTGCTTTGGGTTGGCTAATATTAGCAAAACAAGGCTTTCTAGAAATATAGGAGCGGTAATGAGCAAAGTCTGATTAAATAGTAAAAGACGAACGACAGACAGCGGAAGAGTCGTTCAGAATGCGACAGAATCGAGAAGAAAAGCTCAAGGTTTGAAAGATCGTATTGAGAAGAAGTTAGTCCAGGCCTTTCAAGTATCAACATTGTAATCGAGGCAAGATTTCCTTAGACATTCATATTCCTGGGGTCTGATTCCAACTGTATTTCGACCCTTTAAATTAATTTCGATGTCATCGTGTCGTACGCAGGACGGCAAAAGATACAGGGATTGAAACTTATGCAGTTACAATCAGGCCAGGTTTTGCCGGAAGTATACATTGAACGAAGTAGTTTACGTTACTTGGTGAAAAATATATATTTTGTTTAATATATTTTTCTTAACTTCTTAGATGAAACGTTGTCTAGGGTTAGAGATTTGATGTTTTCCTCGAACTTTGTACTGAATTGATTTAAGGTTACACGTAAATATAGTTCGTTAGTCTAGTTAGAAGGTGAAATGCATCCAAAATTTATTTTCAAGCCAAAGCTAGCTTACAACCTTCCACGATGACACGCACTATAAACAATTATATTTGAGGAAACTACTAATAAATATAAACACTACATACACTAATTTAATACTTAAAGATATACGTGTACAATATCTGCTGGGAAACATGAACGATTTTTAATTATCAGAAAACATTCGCTGAACTGCGAAATATACGAGAATAAATTACTTTGTCGTTCAGCTTATCAGTTATCGGGGGGATATAACCTGTACTTGCCTTAATAAAGAGCCCAATGGTTCAAAGATATTGGATGATCATAGAAAAAGCAAATTCCATTGAGCACCCCAAGGGTTGATTTGACATTGAAATCATGTTGGAGCATAACCTAGACGGGCCTACCGAGAGAAAATCTGAACCCCCTGCAACAGGAGAAAGTCTAATATCCCCTCGAAGTGATATTTGCCATTGCCTTTTACCGCTCTACGCCCTCTTCGTTTCCTCTCCCTTATTCAATCCCACCCCCGCCCCACCATCCACGTGCTTTTTTATCTTTCAAAAAGGTGCAGCCATTTTTAATATAAGTTAAAGATCATCATGCCAATTAATGCTATTTTAGAGTGCAACTTTTTGGGCCCATACTTGCACTCATAAAAAAATTGTATGCATCAGTGTTTCTAAAAACGTCACCTGTTGAGTGAGTTTTAGATGTATCGCATCCGCTATTATAGTAATCAAACTTTCACCACGTTATAACCCCAAATGGCTTTATCCTTTTGGATCCATGTTCCAGGTTTGTATAAACCAATCCAACCAACGTAATCATATACCACACTTCCGTATCACCATCATAGTATCACTGTATCACTGTAATCCGATAGGTAATTCACATCAACTCCACAAAAGACTTACCATCTTGTGTGTTGTTAGATTCTCCAAGTAACACCCGCGACTGGGAGAAGTTTTAAACTAGTGCCTCTTAAATAAGTTTGGTTCCCTGGTATTTTTGGATGCTTCTGACGATCCGGCAAAAATAGACCATATACCGGGTCGACAAAATAGGCTCCCGGCAGATACTTAAAAATTGAGACACTCAACTTTCAGTTCAATGGAACTCTTCCCATAGTTGATGTAAAGCCGAATAATCTCAAAGATTCATAAAGCCGTGTTTGATATTATGGCACTTGACATCCATTTATACCGTGGAGCCATCAGAGTCGTTATTAAAGAGACGAGGATGATTTACCCGATGCATTGTGCATCGTTCCCCGAGGCTTAAGGAGGCCCTAAAAAATGGTTTATAGGGTCCAGAGTAAGTAAGATTTGTTCTTCAAAAATCATAATGCTCCAGGCGACGACGACGCAACATGCGCCTACAGCTTGCTTAAATTGAAACACACCTGGGTGGGCACATAAGTTGCAACTTGCAACTTTTTATTCCTAACATAAGTGCCTATCTCACGTTGCAAACTTAAATATCCGCGGCGCAAGTTGCAAGACTGTTGCTTGGCGCAGTCACTTGTCACATTTTTATCCTCGACGCTTGTTTCGCAACATGTTGCAGAGTTCACAATATTCTGGGATATATGGCAAACATCTTGTAAGTTGACGAATTCAGATTAGGTAGAATGAGCCAGTCAAGGATTTGTTTGTCTCCTAATTTTCATAGTAAGTAATCTGTAGAACAAATTGCATACTAGAAGTGCACTTGACATAAGTCATTTTTTTTACAGTTCTTTCATCAAAATTCGTATTTTTAGTGTTATTTCTTAAACGTGCGAGTGCTTGCAGATAATTGCGGTATAAGATGATTTGAAGACATGGTGTTTCTTACATAATTTGCAAAGAGCGGCACAAGCCTAATGAAAGTAGATATTTCCACCGATAAGTATTATTGTGATACTACGCTATCACTTTGACAAACATTGATAGTCAAATAAGCCAAAAGTATAACATCTCAAATTCTTCTAACCTATTCGAATCCGTTGGCCATAATGGAAACCTTCTGTACCTTTATAAAAACATTCAGAGACTGTTCGATATGTCGAGAAGGACGATATTGCATTCAGCTATATGTATAGTAACTACTACATTTGCTAAAACTGTTTTTTATTGCTCGATACAAGTTTCACTGTGTAACCATCTTCAGATGAAGACTAAAACATTTTTAAGTGTGTTCATTGCCTGGCTAATCGAGCAATTAAAGGCTATTAGTAGCTAGCCAGACTATACATATCGCGCTCTTTTTTTCAGGGCACAAGTGTAAAATAAATAATAAAGTGTCACTGCGCTATCGTCCCCAAAGCATGGTGAGGGTTTATTTTGGTACACTATGTATGTCCTGCTTCTATGTTCAGAGCCACACGCCAGCTTATTACCGCAGCAGTGTGTGGCGCTACTTGTACATAACCTTTCGGCAAACCTTATATAGCGCCTGCTTATTATAGATCACGACGATGCCTTTGATTGACTGTTATAAGTTACGGTGGAAGTCAGGTAATAAGAGCAGAGTACAAAGAGATCATAAAAGATGAGATAGATTCATTTGGAAAGTTTTGTGAAGTTGATATCCATATAAATGTTGAAGTACTTTACACATTGTTACCTTGTACTCTTTTCCACCAGAGCAGACTGGAAAATAGCCCCCAAACCCCAAAACCATTTTTTTTTCATTGTTCGGACTCTTCCAAAGATTATATAAAAAACTAAACTACAAAAAACACTGAATTTATGCATTAGCATATGCTCATCGACTCAATAATTTAATACTATCATGGTTTTAATTATGACGTTTTGGGACACTTGTAAAAGTCACTTACAGATGTTGAGGTGGTTTTCCCGGCGATACTGTAGAGTAGAACTGGCTTCCAAAAAGTGTTTTGATTTTGTTTTAACATAGGTAAATTAGAGAAAAGGCTTATTAATTTACATTTTCCACATAATGATTAGTTTTGGCATTTGGATGCCGTAATCTTGGTTTAAATAAAAGTATCATTGGTTATCACTTCTTGGAGACTCCACAATCTGGTACAGTTCAATACTTCCAAAACGCAGTACTGTACCTTGACGAACAAAAAGCGTCCTAGCGCTCATCCGGTTTCGATGAATGGCCGAGTTTTAGCAAAAAGCGGTTCATTTCGGCTGGTCGGAATCAAGATCACCGAGGACTTAATCTTTCATGAACACATCTCGTCAATAGCGGCAGCTGCTGGGAAAAATCTAAGCTATTTGTTCTCCACATGACCTCCTCACTCTGTACAAGGCCCAAATAAGACCTAGCCCCAGGTATTGCTCACATGTTTTTGGTGCTGGCGCTCCGACTGTTACAACAGCTGAGATAAACCAAAGCGTACTATTAAAGCAGAACTATACCTAATCCAAAACAGCAATTGCACCCTTTCGTACATAAAAACAGTTCTTCGCAACAGGTATAGAAGGGTAGGTCATAGATTAAATTCTTAATGATCATTTTCGGAAATTCTCCGTCAGCGTAAACATGCGATACATCTGCAGTGCGCGAGACGACCTTCAATACGCTATACTATACAGGATACAAAAAATCAAAATTTGTAAATTTGTGACATGGAATAGTTCTGCTCTAAGGTGGACGAAAAGCATGAACAGTTTGATGTACACCCTATTTCAGGAGAATTTATCACTTTTTAACGTCTACTGAGGTTAACAGCTGATCAGCAAGTGACATTTTTATGTTAGTCTGCGTCGTTGGCAATAGTGAATCGCGTGTAAATCTAGTAAAACTTATTTGTAGCGTTTTGTTTTTTGCATGCAAATGAACCTTTCTAAATAAAACAGCTGTTAGCAAGTACAAAATGAATCTGTAGAGTACAAAAAACCAAAACAAAATACAGCTCTGGCTACTTGATGTTGACGGATCAGTCAGAATTATGTGTCCTGTGCCGATATGGGAAATTTTGAAATATTACTAGATAGCAAGCTGTCATTCTTCCGTGATGGATACTCTATATAAATAGATATTTGTAACATAACCTCAAAGTAGAGCGCAGACATGGAACAGTAGAAAACTATGACAATCAAGGAAACCATAAAGGCGTCCTACTCGTACAATAAATTGCAGGAACGACGGACGTTATGACCCTTGGGTTTCTGCCTGCGCGGATGCTTCGGTGAAGAAAAGGAATCCGCAAAAAATATTGAATATATTCCATCAAATATCTTCACTAATATAAATTAAATCATCAATTGTGACGAACTTTGCCCAGTAACTGCTTTGGAAATGGATGTTTTTACGTATGATAAAGAGTACTTGAAGTCATATCCAGCGGCGCCCGTAAGCCGAAAATGTTAATCTTACAAAAAGTATAAATACATAAGTTGTAGGAAATTGAAAATTTCGTTTAAAAATTCAAGTGTGGAGTAAGGGTAGCTGCAGCATGCTCATGCACTTAAGCAGAATGTCTCCTTCTACCTAGTCTGAATTTGTTGCTCACAATTAGTTCGCTTGGATTTGGATCATGCGCATCAGGGCATTTTATGTACCAGTCCTTTGTGGCGGAGGAATGAACGAGTTTTTTGACAAATGAACTAGTTCACTTTGTGCAGTCATAAGAATCATCCTAATGAACTCGTCTGTTCGTTAACCACACATCACTATTCATGATGCTGACATATGACATTGTCAATTCTGAAGATATTCTGTTTTGTGGGTGAAGTGAGGTTAGGTCAGTGTATATGTTTTGTGTGAGGTTAATTTATTTTTCCTGAAAAAATCATTTGAAATTCATAACAAATTAATTGTAAAAAAAAGTATTATTAGCCTATTTATACATTTAACATGTACACTAATATCAGCCTATATTCAACATTTTTTGAAAAATGGACGTAACAGTTGCTCTTTTGGTTATAGCGGTAATCTATGGAATTCTCCTATTTTTCGACAATTTTTTCAAGGTACTGAGCTTGTTTTACTGCTTACCTATGATACTAAATACATCCTTTTTTTTAGACATGTATGCATTACCCTTACATAAGGTTTCTGGAGGAAACTGGCATACAACTAAAATTTTTTTCTGTATGCTGGAAAACTAAGGCGTTCAACCGCTCTTTGATTCGATGGGGCAACAGCAATCCTCGATATTTGAAAATATGGTTCAAAATTGGAACATATGTCACCTTTGTGTTACTCCCATTTTCATTAGTTTTACTTTTATACTCTATACTTGTAAACTTTTCCTCAACTGATAGTGGTAGTTCACAATTTGTTTTACAACCAGTTTTGCCTGGAATCAATCTACCAGCATCTGAGCTAGCTTATTACAGTTTAACACTAATATTGTGCACAGTGGTGCATGAACTTGGACATGCAATAGCTGCAGTTTTGTATGATGTTAACATCATTGATGTTGGTGCTAACATAGTATTTGTGTTGCCTTTTGCTTATGTAAACTTATGCACAGAAAGATTCTTGGCATTACGACCCACACATACATTGAAAATACTTTGTGCTGGAGTATGGCATAATATAGTCCTCAGCGTTGTTGCCTTATTGCTTTATTTTATGTTGCCCACATTGTTTTCAGTATTCTTCCATCTGAACAGTGGAGTTGCAATAACTGAGATTGCAAAGAATTCACATCTAGCTGGTAGTAAAGGATTGAATATTGGTGATACAGTGTTCCAAATTAACGAATGTGATGTAAGAGATGAAAACAGTTGGTACAAGTGTTTAGCTCAAACAGATATACTCAAGCCTGCATTTTGCATAGAGCCAGATTTGATACATCAGTATGATGAAAGTATTCCTTTGAAACACATTGGTGAAGGGCATATAGAGTGCTGTGAATCTAACAAAAAAGAAAACGTATGTTTTGAATACTTGGACCCAGCCGATGGCATTTTAGAATTACCAAGTCATGTTTGTCTACCAGCAAGAAGGGTAGTAGAAAGATCAGAACATTTTTGTTCTTCCACTCCATACATTTGTCCAACAAACCTTTATTGTTTTCGGCCAATATTAGCAAATAGTACAAATTTGTTCAAAATTAGCACAGAAACCAAAGATGTTATATACTTGGGCTTAGTTAGTGATTTGTACAGAACAATACATGTATCCTCATATATTCCAAAATACTTTTTCAAGACACCAACATTGCCTGATGCAGTGACAAAGTTTCTGAAATATGTTACTATTATGTCTTTAGGACTTGCAATAATCAATGTATTGCCTTGCAAATTTATGGATGGGCAATACATTACAGAGATGTTAGCATTAATTCTTTTTAAAAGTCATTTTGGGGAAAGCAATGTTAAATTGGCCACGTCAGTAGTTAATGTACTCTTCACTATAATCATAGTTTGTTATTGTGTATATTCATTAAGTAAGTCACTTTTATAGATATTTTGATACTAGTCTTGGGCAGCTAACATTTTTGCTGCTCTCTTATCCATAAAAACCATGTTTTGGGCTTTATAATTTGTATATTTTTGTAGTATACGCTGTATATTATTAGATAATAAAATGAACGAGTCCATACAAATGCTTCCTTTTTTCCACTAGATTATAGATCCAAAAAATGTGATGAACAAATGGAACAAAAATAAATAGGTATTCAATTTATTTTCAAAAAAAATATCAACATACTACTCAAAGACAACATATCTTCCACACATGTTAAGTAACACAAAAATGATAATTACTATTGATATCTATTTTGATAAGCTTAAACTAGTCTCTAATTCTTTTAAACATCTCTCTCCATACTTTATGTACATTTTTATTGTTATCTCATCCGTATGATGAGCATTACTTCTAAAATCATGTCGTGCCCACTGCTTCAGCTCTCTCTGATGGCTGGGATCAGGCACCTGCCTTATAGTTCGAAATATTTTCCTATAAAGGGATTTCACTTCTTGCTTCAGAATGAACTGAAAAGTGTGAATGTTCAAACACTTATACCAATGGCTTATACCTACATCAACATAGAAGTCACGTCAATGAATAGGCCTAATAAAAAATACTGTTACTTATATCTTCTTGTTCCAGTGAAGTTATCTGTATCTTCCAACAATGCATCAAAAATGAAATAAACGTATAATTACAAAAAATATGCTGCTAACAGACTATCAATATTTACTAGTTATATGTATGAAGTTAGGATCATACTAGGCCACTTTGCTAAAATTTGTTGCTCATTTGTTCTCATCAGCTTTTGGCCGTTCTTGAAGATAAAACCGTTATTTAATCACTAAATCAATCATTATGTTCATTCACTCTTGCAACTATAGTTAAACTAAAAATACGTACATCTTTGAGTGATAAAACTGGCTTGGTTCTCATTTAAAAAGTAGAAATTGTGAACCACAAAATATATTTGTGAACTACGGTATATTTCACGAGTATCCATCACGTTTTGACGTCTAATGAGGTGAACAGCTAATCAACAAGTGACATTTTTGTGTTATTCTGGGACGTTGGCAGTAATGAATCGAGTGTAAATCTAGTAAAAATTGTTTGTAGCGTTTTGCTATGTGTGCAAATTATTTTTTCTTACTAAAAGAACTGTTAGCAAGTACAAAATGAATCTAAAGCGTACAAAAAACAAAACAACTGCTCTGACCAACGAATTCGTTGGTTCTGACAACCTGACTTTGACTGATCCGTCAGAATTATGTGTCCTGTGCCGATATGGGAAATTTTCTAGATATTACTAGATAATCAGCTGTCATTCTACCGTGATAGATACTCGATACTCGTGAAATAGGGTATATTTTATATTACAAAAAATAACGCATGGCAATCAAAATTATTTGAGGTTATGACACCTGGTGTCAAGATGTCAAGAACAGCTGCTTGTAACAGGCAACAAGGGATGCGATGATGTTTGACCTGATGTGCGTTTAAATTAAAATGATTTTGCAAAAAATTGAGGTAGGTCTCCTATAACATGCATATATTGGAATATTGATTAGTATAATATGTGTATTTCTAGACACAGCACCGGCGGTTTCGCAGGAGCAGCTGATTAAAAATAATAGGTTATAAAGCGCAGTGGTACAGAGCTGGTTACGAAAGAAATTGGCTAGTGCACCTAAGTCAAATGAATCTCAATTCAAGGCAATTTTATTATAAATCATATCCATGCCTAATACATGAGCGGCGAGTGCAGTTCAAACCAAATATAACAAGCTTCGTGATAACAGGAAAAGTCATCATCATTGTTGATCTGTCATTGAGTGACATTGCTCGCGGGACATTTTGTGATGAACAGGCAAGGGAGACTCATCGGTAGCGCGAAATGTTGGCAGTGGCTGTGAGGGCGCTCCTGGGCTTGGGTCGGCCCTACACTGCCTCCGCCAACGGCGCCCTATATTCAGCTAAGCAAGTGTTCAACGAAGAAAACATGAAAATGACGACAGCAAAGTTTGCCAGCTTGAAACCGATAAGAATGCACGCTAGGCAGCCTTCAAAGAGAGCAGCTGTGCTCATACCACTGTGTGAAGTTAATGGAAAGGTGTCGCTTCTCTACACACTAAGGACGGTCCATTTGAAGTCTCACAGAGGACAGGTATGAAGAACTCTTTAAACAATGATGTACATTGTATGCTATCGGTAGTTGCTGCATAGTTCAATTTCAAACTGCCCGCTTCTCCGAGACCCTTAGCGGGAAAACGTCAAACGTCATTTGATACACATGTTGCCAAATCTACGGTTTATAGTCTAATGCGACTCCCACACGGTACTTCCAACATTGTTTACAACGTTCGACACCCATCTCTCCTACACGATGGGATGAACTTTTTACTCTCGGGACATTCGACGCATGGTGGTGCCAACGTCTATTATCGGTGTCAGTATCGCGCTTGAACCTTTGCAACTAAAGGAAAAATTACACAAAATAAACGATGAAACAATTTTTTCGAGCGGCTAAAAATAATTTCTGATCTGTCCTCAGCGACCAAAACTTTAGTCTCTCAGAAGCCTCAAAAATGTCGAATAACGAAGTTTGACCGTTTTTTGTTTGTTTTTCGACTATAGCTCCACCGCCTGTACTGATTTTCAAAAACTGCAGAGATTTTTCTTTATTTTCATATTAGTAACCTAGGGTCAAAATTGCATCAAAATCGTGATAGTACTTTCAGAGCTATCATTTATTTAACCTTTGTCATTAGAAATGGAAGTCAATATATTTATCAACTAGTCTTGCATTGCAACAGGACATTATAAAGGAAACAACTGTAAGCACTTGATAATTTATAATTTACTAAAATACATATCCTTAGGCCAGCCATAACTCACCTGCGAAATGTACAAAGTATTACCAATATCAAAAAAGTGTTGTTATGGCAGCCTATGGTTTGTATGTATACTAAGGGGCTAGGCGGGGCAGTGCCCCGGGGCCCTCGAATCCTTACCAGAAGGTACATTTTCATGGCAGCGCTTTTATCGCTGGCGATAAGGCCTAGCGACCCTAAAAAGCTGAACTGGTTTAGCTTTTTGGCGTGACTGTCGGTTTCTGATGTCATGTGTCGCGAAAAAAATTAAAATAAAAAATACGTCGGACCAAAATGTAAGTATAAGGCCATAATAATTACTTATAAAATATCAAAAATAATTGAAATGAATTGTGAAATAAAAATCGGCATTTGCACAATTAACTGCACGGATTTTTTTTTGGAGACCTATAGTAGATGATATTTGATGAACATGCGAGGTCGGAAAAACTGTTTTAAAAAAAGTTATTTATTGTTAAACTTGTAGGTTACTTTTTTTTCGAGTGCAAATATCCTCGTAAAACTGATTTATTCGAAGTAATTTGCACTCGAAAAAAAAGTACCCTGAAAGCTTAACAATAACAATACATTTTTTACACGTTTAAAACAATTTTTCCGACCTTGCATGTTCATCAAATATCAACTACTATCGGTCTCTAGAAGATATGTAAACTTCAAAAAAATCGAAAGACTTCGATAAAAATCCGTGCAGTTTAATTGTGAAATTGCCGAAATATACATATATTTAAATGGGACACCTCGCGCTACCACGCGTCAGATTTCGAAAAAATTTACTAGAACCAGCATGAAAAGGACCCTAGAAAATCTCGAACGAACTCCACTTTTGAAAATTTCTCCCATTTTCAATATAAATATGACAGGTGGCAACACGACTTTAATCATGCGACTCAGTTTCAGATAATTTTGAAAGTTATCAATAGATCAAATTATTTGGGTTGACCCGGTTGACAGTGTTATCAATTTGACCGATATCAATATGTGTGCGTTTTATTATTTATCGATGTGCGTTTTTGTGAATCGTGATTGTGAACTCCAGTCAAGATTTTTTTTCGAGAATGGTTAAAAAGTTAATGTTGTATCAGGAGTAAGTAAGCTTATGTCAATTTTTATTTGTACTGGTCTAAAAAAAGGTTCAATTTTATTTGATTTTAGTACTACTCATATTGACGTCCATTACGTAAATAAATCTATAGATTTTGGCTACTCATCGTATAGCGCAAAATACCGTGAAAAATACAAGTCACCTGCAATAGGTATATTAATTCAGGTGCCAGGAGATTATTTTTTGTCTCCACCGTGGTAACACTGTCGGCGATAAAATATAAAATGTTTACCGGGGTTTCCCCAACGACGTATTGTATCGTATCATTACGTTCCTCACTCCTTTTACTTTTAACGTCGTCACTGCATAGTGAGTACCTACTTGAGCACAATCTTATATAAATATTGCATAAATAAATTAGGAAACTAAAATTATGGATAAAAAGAAGAAACCCAGTGGTGCATTTAAACGCAAACAACGCCAAGAAAGAGAAGAAGGTAAACAAAAATTGCCCAAAATTGACAAATTTTTTAGTCACGCTTCTGGAAGTATGTCTGGACAAAATATTTCTATTGATAGTGAATCAAATAATGTGGTAACTGCAGTGTTGGTTGAGAATCCTACTGAAGAAGATGCAACAATTATTGCAGTTGAAGATACCTCCGCTGCCGATCATGTGAACGTGGATGATGTTTGTATGGTACATAAGAACATAAAAACGGAGGATTTGGATGAACCACAGACCACTAAATTTTTCGAAAATGTGTACGATAAATTGTCTTATGACTTGACTTTTTCCAACTGATATCAACCAGAATAATAGGTGTTTTTCAAAATCATACTACGTTTCAAGTTCAAAATATGGACCAGTTAATCGTTTTTGGTTGTGCTATTCCAAAATACTAGACACTGCCTATTGTCAACCCTGCTGGTTATTTGCTTCACAGAGGAATAATGTCTGGTGTACGGGAATTCGTGATTGGAAACATTTATCAGAAAGAATTAAACAACACAGTTGTTCGAGTGGCGTTACGGAAGCATGTGCTGTGTATGAATTTTGGAAAAAAAAAATGATACTAATACTATCGACAAGGAACTTGAAAATGAAATTCGCCATAAAACATCCTTTTGGAAAATTGTTCCTCAAAGGTTATTCGATCATACTTACCCTAGCAAAGAGTTCTTTGGCTTTGAGAGGACATAGAGAAGACTTAAGTCAGGAAGGATACCATGGAAATTTTTTGTCCTTTGTACAGCTTGTCGCCCGATATGACCACATTTTGCGGCAAGTTCTGGATATGCCCAAAGGTAATAATAATAATTTTATTTTGTTTTAATATTACTCATAATTATTAACTTTTTAATTTTAATGTAAGGGCTGTTTAAAATTGTGTTTTTTATGTTTTTAGGATCTACAAGATATCTGAGTGCAACGATTCAGAATGAAATGATTGAGAGCTTGGGGACCAATCTCGAAACCCATCTACTAGAAGACATTAGGGCGTCACCGATTTTCGCCATCATAATGGATACGGCACAGGACATATCGAAGGTAGACCAGCTAAGCATTGCTGTGAGGTATGCAGTAATAACGAGATCGGAAAATAGGCAGCCAATTGATATAGAAGTAAAAGAAGTGTTTCTAGGCTTTTTGCAGCCATCAAACATGGCGCAGCAGATTTAGTTAATCAAGTAACTACATTATTTAAAGAGAAAAATATTGATTTAAAAAATGTGTGGGGCAAGGTTATGATGGATCCAATGTGATGAGTGGTGTACAAAAACATATTGGATATCCAGACTAACGCGGAGTACGTACATTGTGCCGCTCATAATTTAAATTTGGTGATAAATGATGCCATTAGCAGTTGTGTGGAAATACAGAATTTTTTCGCAACGTGCAAGATTTGTTTAACTTTTTCGGAAACAGCATTAAGCGTTGGGATCTACTGTCAAAATTCACAGGCGAATCGGACACCACTCTAAAAAAACTAAATCCCACTAGATGATCCAGTAGGGTCAATACAACATCTGCAATAAAACTTCGTTTTTTTTATATTATCAAAGCACTATCAGAAATAGTTCTAAAGAGTCCTAATAAAGATGAGCGTAATGAAACAGAGAGTATCCAAACAAAAATGTAAAATTTCGAGTTCGTGTTCCTTTGTGAATTCATGCACAGTGTATTGAATGACATCAATTATGCATCCAAAATTTTAAAAAAATGCGACATCAATTTGGGCGAGGCAAGTAAAGACCAAAGAAAAGTTGGAAGTTTGTAGAAGTGATTTCGAAACATTCAAGTGCAAAGCATGTGAAACTGCAAGGAAATATGGCATATATACCCATTTTCAAGAAAAAAGGCAAAGGAAAGTTAAGGGTAACAACGCAGGAGCCGCTAACCGCGGCGGATGGCGGTCACGCGGATGTTATTTGTGTAGGAATAATTGGCAGACAACTCACTGGCAACCACGTAACCGCGCAGATGAGCGGACGCCGGCATTGGACGCGGCGAACACGGATACCGCGCGGACTTTCAAGACGACTATAGGGTAATAACGCACGAGCCGCGCAGCGCGGCGGGTGGCGGATGAGCGGTACCGCGGGGAAGTGCGGATTGCTTTACGGAAACCGTCGCGGATGGCTGGTTGCTAGTTAGGGTAAGGGTAACAACGCACGAGCCGCGCACCGCGGCGGGTGGCGGATGAGCGGTACCGCGGGGAAGTGCGGATTGCTTTACGGAAACCGTCGCGTATGGCTGGTTGCTAGTTAGGGTAAAAGGCGCGTACACATCTGGCGAACGCATGTGGCCGAAGCTCTTCGATCGAATTCATTCGATGATTTCGACGTTCGATGGAAAATTTGCTCTGCCATCCACATTACGGTGAACGAATTCGTTTGCAGTCATTCGTCGAGGTTCGCGGGTATTTTTGTAAATGGTAAAAAATGGCGTCCGATGATGAGGATATAATTATTGCAAGTGCGTTGTATATTATTATTAGTGAGGCGGAGACCGAAGCATTGAAAGAGCCCCCCAAGAAACGACGAAAACGGCGCTGGCGGACAACATCATTGTTCAAAAGCAGAAGTCGGTATAGAGGGATGGACTTAATTAGTGATCTAAAAGCTGAAATGGAATACGGACTTTTTGTAAATTTTTGTAGAATGAAGTCTACTGATTTTGAATGGTTATTAAATGAAATTGGTCCAAAAATCGCGAAACAAGATACAAAGTTTAGAGAAGCAATACCGCAACAGAAAGGTTAATGTTAAGGCGGCTCCGACGCAGTGAGTTTCAGGCCATTTACAAGGGTTTAGCTGCTTCGGAATTGACGCTCCATTTTTCTATATATTTGAATAAAATTTATACAGTATGTTCAGAAGACAATTGTCCAGGGTGCTATAGAGCCACTTTTCTAAAAAAAATTTTTTTTCAGGAGTTATGGTGGGTGGAAGTGCAGATAATTGTTGTTCGACTTCTCGATTTTTTTAAAAATAACCCAGAGGAAAAAACGAAAAAGTGGCTCTATAGCACCCTGTGGAGTCTTGTTTTTAGTGCACTGTGAAAATTTCATTGAAAAATATTCAAAAATGAAGCGTCAATTTTGAAGCGCGAAAACCTCTGCAAATAGGCTTTTACACGAATTTTATACACTATCTCGTGCTGCCAGTCGAAGCAACGCGGCGGTGTGTAAGGACTAAGAAAGGACGTATTCAGATAATTTGTTGTCCCAAGTTAAACAGTAGCAGTTTTAACGTCGGTCGTTCGAGATAAACATCGGACCATTAAGTGATATTTTTAATAGACTTCAATGAAAGAGGGGAAATTTTTAATCGATTTTGATCATTTCTTTTTATACAATAGGCCATGCTTCAGAGGTGATACCACAAAAAATCATTTTTGTTCAATCACTCCAATATGGATATCAAATGGAAGCACTTGTACAAAACAGTAATACGAAAACAGTTTCAAATCAAGATGGCGGCCGTTACAAAATGGCGGATAACATACTTGCTAATATCTCAAATAAGACTCGTCGCCTTGTAGAATACAGTACTTCACTAAAAATTTGATTCCAAGATTGCCGCCGTTTCGAAATTGCGAGTTACATACTTTTGTACAAAACCCCCAATTTACATATCAAATACAGAACTTTGTGACCAAAAGTATCCAGGTGGTTCCAGGGTCATTGGAGGCGGTAATCTTTTTAGTTAAAAATAATAATTATAGTGAACGCATTTACCACAAATAAAATGTCACTTGCTGTTTAGCTTTAACCTTATGGAGTATCGTAAAATAAACTTAACACGATAAGCGTCATGAGATATAATGCGTGTGTCGCACCTCATTTGGCGCTTTGGGCCTCGTGACACACATGATATGTCTCACTGCTGGCAGTTATATTTGGCCGCGTAACGTAAGACGTGTGCCATGCTGATGTGATTTTCTTACGGGAACCAAGAGTCCGTGGCCTGAGGGACCAAATTATACTGAATTGGAAATGAAAACATTAAAAAACACGTTGTTTATAGAGTTTTACAAAAAGAGGATATTCTACAAATCTAAAACAAAAAGCAAATCTTATAAAATAATCAGACATTCTCATTCAAAAATGAACAAAGTAATTTCACAGCAAATCAGTAAGTTATGGTAAATGTCGATATTCTAACGAACACAAATATGGAGGAACTCTTATAAACTAAACAGATTGACAAAGTCTTATGCAGGAATAAACAAAATACTGGTATAAATAAACAGTAATACAGATAATAATGGAATTACTACAACTACTATCTGATTCACTACCACTTGGAGAATACGCATCAGATAAGTATACATCCACCCACATAACTCAGTACTGCCACTCTCTTCATCCGATAGTATTTCATTACACAATTGTTCAAGCCTTTTTTGCTCCGCTTCGTAATGCGACATCACAAATTTGGTATTCAATAATTTATAAACAGTAAAGCAATTTGGACAAGATGACGTACAATACCAACAACGCTGCAATAATAAATGACACGAAACAATGCTCAACGCGCGACATGATGCAAGTCTTGACTTGCAAAAAACGCGACGCGACTTATGTGCCACGCGACCCGACTGGTCTGTGGGCCACGCGACATACAATTAGTACCTCAGAAAAAAAAAATCAAAAAAGGGGAAAATCATAGGATTTGAGAAAAAAGTCAAGTCAAAATATTAAACCGAAACTTAAAACAAGCTAATTTGACAATAATAACAGTTTGGCCCAGTGGACTGGATTTTCAGATTCTACTGTGGCGCTTAACGTGTCAATGTGACATTTCAATATTCGCCATCTAACAGACTAGATAAAGCTAGCCGATGCTACGTGCTATTGAGCCTGACGATTGACTTTTATTTAAATAAACAATATATACATAATATACAATAAATAGTGAACATCTGGTACTAGTACCAAAATGGAAAAGATTAGCATAACATCTCGCACATCGCTGCTAAAGCGAGATCTGCACACCGCATTTGCCGACACGAAGGGGTTAGTAACGGCGTACAATGTAATATGCTAATCTCTTCCATTTTGGTACCCGAGTACAGCAAAAATAGCCAATTCTCAAGAACTCTTTTTCTTGTTCAAACGGTTCTCTTGTGCCTTCAAGATCACATCGGGATCGCGGATTGGCATATTTCTGCTTTTTCTGGGATCGACCAGT